ATACACACACACACATACACACACACACACACACACACACACACACACACACACACACACACACACACACACATATATATATATATATATATATATATATATATATATATATATATATGTATGTATGTATGTATGTATGTATGTATGAATGTAAGTATGTATATATAAATACACACACACAAACATATATATATATATATATATATATATATATATATATATATATATATATATATGTGTGTGTGTGTGTGTGTGTGTGTGTGTGTGTGTGTGTGTGAGACACAGAGAGGGGGAAGGTGGGAGTAAAGGAGGTAGGAAGGAGGGAGGGGTGAAATGAAGGAGAGAGAGAGAGAGAGAGAGAGAGAGAGAGAGAGCGAGAGAGAGAGAGAGAGAGAGAGAGAGAGAGAGAGAGAGAGAGAGAGAGAGAGCGAGAGAGAGAGAGAGAGAGAGAGAGAGAGAGAGAGAGAGAGAGAGAGAAAGAGAGAGAGAAAGAGAGAGAGAAAGAGAGAGAGAAGAGAAAGAGAAAGAAAAAAAAATAGAGAGAACGAAATAGATTTAGTTCGAGCCGAATAAAGAAATAATATCCCCCTTAAGGTACACTTTTTTTGCCTCTCCAGCTAAGGATCTAAAGAAACACATACACACACACACACACACACACACACACACACACACACACACACACACACACACACAGATTCCCTCCTTTTCTTGCTCCTCCTCCGCCTATACTTGCTTTGAGGAAGAAAATACGATACTGTTAAAGGCGGTCGACGTATTTGGTCAGTTTGTATTGGTAAATAGTATATATATATAGGTGTTTGTCTTACTGGATATTTATATATTTGTAGATATACCTCTCTCTCTCTATATATATACACATATATATGGTTGTATGATTGTTATCTTTATTATATCATTACCATTATTATTGCTCATCATCATCGTCGTCATCGTCATCGTCATCGTCATTTTCGTCATCGTCATCGGCATCGTCAACGTCATCGTCATCGTCATCGCCATCGCCATCGCCATCGTCATCGTTATCGTTATCATCATAGGTTTTAAAATCATTATTATTATTATTTTCGTTACTAGCATCATACCTTGGTGTTGTCTTTATCACTATTATTATCATTACTGATATTGTTTTCATCATCAATGTTATATTATCATCATTCTCAACATCATTATCTGCATTACTGTTGGTTTTGTTACAATTATTACCATTATGATTTGGAGTATATTATCATCACTATTATCAATATTACTATTCCCATTATTGATGTCGCCATAATTACCATTACTATCATTATCAGTAAAACAAAATGCAGTCATTACTCTTATTAGCAATGTTTCGTTTATTCAATTATATCTATCATTTAAAAAAACGATCATCGGCTGCTTTTTAGATTTCTATCCATTTCGTTGCTAAGAGTCATTTATTAAGAAGACAAATATTGGAATGTGCAGCGTATTGGTAGATAAACACATAAAAACAACAACTATAAAAGAGAGACAGAGAGAGACTGACATTTCCGAATGGGAAGGAGAGGAAGTGAGGGGGAGTGGCCGAAGGGAAAGGGTGTGGGGGCGGAGGAGGGGGAGGGGCGCCGTGGTGTGGTGTACACCCACGTCCTCTACTTGGTGGGGAGAAGAGGAGTCCTTGGAACCATGCCAGTGACCAAAGCACCATCTTCCTTCATCAGGATTATATAAAACACAAATATCGAGCTCTTCCAAACGCATCGACGTAATAGAGGGAGGGGAGAGGTAGGGAAGGAGGGAGGGGAGGAGACGCGGTCATGACGATCGTAGATATAAATAAAGCCCGGTGCGTCTGGCGGGTATGTCTTCTGCAGCAGGGTGTTCGTCGAGACGGGATGGCAATCTGGACATTTCCCGTATTTTGACGAGTTTCCAGCAGGGTGACCATCGATCCAGCGTGCGGCGGATGACCCTGTACACTAACCCTGGTAACCTCAGCTTCACGCGACGCGCTGGTGTAGTCCTGCGAGTCATTCTGCTCGGGTGTGGGCCTCACGAGCCGGGAAGCCTAAATAAAATATGATCTGCTTCATAAACTCTTAAAGAACCCAAGTTAGGCGGTGGGCTTAGTGAGATTTCATGGGGTAAATGATGCCGCTGACGGACAAAAATAGTAAACAGATGAACTGATAGATTCCAAAAAATCACGAGACGTCACAAGTTATTTTTACGGCAAAAGGAACATGATTCAGCGGGTAAAGATACATAGGGAGCTAGTGATATATGACACAGCACATCGCAACATAGAGCACACTGGAGAAAGTAGAGTAGCCGCTGTAACGCAAAGTTATCACAGCGAAGGCGAAGACGAAGCCGGAGAGGCCTAAGGCACAAGATTGTTATCGCAGAAGGAGAAGACGATACGAAATGGGACAAGGGAGATATGGCACAAGTACACAATGGGACGACGGCGCTGTGTGTCAGATGGAAGGAATGGTACGAAGCTGAGATGCCATGAGTGCAAATTAATGCAATATATCATTAATGATGATATGAATTCTTCTCTTAGAGAGGGAAAGTCAGAAAATTCGAAATGAACAAAAGAGAGTTTGATACGAGTGCCACCTAATGGGAGGTTATATGGCACAAAAGAGATATGATATGAAAGTATATGAACGCTCGAAAAAGGAATGGTACAAAGGCCGAATGGCACAGGGATAGGATGGTACAAAGGCTGAGATGGTACAAGACCTTCCCACATAAATGAACGATGCAGCCGGCCGCCCAGGGTAAATATAGTATTTATAAAATCAATACGTGAAAATCAAGTGTGCCGCGCAACACTGCCGACCTTGACAAAAACTTGAGCGCATGCTTGCTGGGCGCCAGACTGCTCTCTCTATCCTCTCTCTCTCGCTCTCTCTCTCTCTCTCTCTCTCTCTCTCTCTCTCTCTCTCTCTCTCTCTCTCTCTCTCTCTCTCTCTCTCTCTCTCTCTCTCGCTCTCGCTCTCGCTCTCTCTCTCGCTCTCGCTCTTTCTCTCGCTCACTCTCTCTCACTCACTCTCTCTCGCTCGCTCTCTCTCTCTCTCTCTCTCTCTCTCTCTCTCTCTCTCTCTCTCTCTCTCTCTCTCACTCTCTCTCTCTCTCTCTCTCTCTCTCTCTCTCCCTCTCTCTCCCTCTCTCCCTTTGTCTGTCGGTCTCTCTCCCTCTCTCTCTCCCCCCCCCTCTCTCTCTCTCTCTCTCTTTCTCTCTTTCTCTCTCTTTCTCTCTCTCTTTCTCTCTCTCTCTCTCTCTCTCTCTCTCTCTCTCTCTCTCTCTCTCTCTCTCTCTCTCTCTCTCTCTCTCTCTCTCTCTCTCTCTCTCACTCTCTATCTCTATTTCACTCTCTCCCTCTATCTTTCTCTGTCCATTTTTCTATTTGTCTATCACTCTATCTGTCTTTATTCCCACTCCTGTTCTCTCCTCTCTTTTCTCTGCGTCTTTGTCACCCGCATCCATTTTTTTCTTTTTTCATATCGTTCTTATGTACATATTCTCTCTCTCTCTCTCTCTCTCTCTCTCTCTCTCTCTCTCTATATATATATATATATATATATATATATATATATATATATATGAATGTGTATATATATACAAATATATATATAGATAGATAGATAGATAGATAGATAGATATAGATATAATTACAGATATAGATATGTATGGAAATTATCTAAGAATGACGATAATTAGATAGAATGGAGAACGAAGGGATAACAAGGAGAGAAGAGATAAGGAAAAAGAAGAAAGAAAAAAAAGGACAGCTGGCAAAGTACGAATAGTGAAGAGCCAAGGAACAGGAAATGGGGTAAGACAGTAATGAATGAGGTAAAATGCAATAGGCGTAGAAGTGGAAAGAAAGCAGGTAATGAGGGGTTAACAGGAGGTAATGGAGAGAGAGAATAAGAGACAAAGAAAGGGGGAAAAAAAGTATGACAACAAAAAGGACAGTTGAGGATATTGGGAGAAGGGAGAGGGGAGAATAATTAGGAAATAGGAAATGAACGAAGACTATTAGAAACGAATGGAATGAGGTGGAACGAAGAAAATAAAGTACGAAAAAATTATCCTAAATGATAACTATCTAAATAATAATAATAATAATAAAAAACGAACAAAGAAATAAGGATGTGTAAAACGTCGTGTTTCGATGAGATGCAACTTTTAAAAATTGCACTTCGTGACGATCATCATTGTTGCGCTGCGATGTGTTTGTGATTATGCAGAGTGCAGACGAACGCATTCTTGTGTTGTGACCCGGCGTGGTGAGTCTGTTGTGGCGTCACTGCGAGGATAACATCATCTCGTTTCTCATTGACCATCGCTCATTTTCTAAATCATTAATTTGCTCGGATTTCTATCGAAATTATGCGCATTCGGATCCTCATTCCAAGACAAATCAGTGAATAGTGCGAGTTTACGCAGAGCTCTGTTGATACGAGATTTGTTTCTCCACCTCCCCCCCCTCCCTCCAACCCCCCTCCCCCCCCCTTCAAAACCCAACTCCGAATCCACCCCACGACCCGCACGTCACCCTTGCCAGACGTACAAAGAAATCAGTAGAGAAACCTGACTCAATGATTATTCATTTACTCAGTCATAATTCCGGTAAAAAAAGAAAAAAAAAAACTATCAGGCAAGGACAGTCGTAAAGATCTGGTTCTGAATGATACAATCAATAATGTGTTACTTTTGTCGATAGTTACAGTGACCTAATTTCTGAGCCGGATAGATACACCAACGAAAATCTCTTACAAAAAATCACTAAAATGACATTTTCTCTATCTTTATAGAGCAGCTGATGAAACATAAAGTAGACTAGTCAGCACCAATGCCATGAGAATCTACAAAGTCTAAGCTATCTCCCTAAACGGGCGAGCGAGGCAAGGGGGAGGGGGAGGCGAGCGAGTGTCACTGCGGTACGACAGTTTGGTCGGCGGCGGCAGCGGGTGCCAGGGTCCCCTCGCTCGCTCTCCAGATTTCCCCCACACAGGTTCTAGCTGTTCTGTGCCCGGGTGTTGACGCGCTGCTGTGCTTCTGGTTCTGTGAATTGGATATTTTTTAAAAATACCTCAGGGATGAATACTTTGTGTTAGCGTGTATTTTTTTCCGTAGATCTTTTGGATTGAGTCCTTGTTTTTAACACCAAGGACGTACTTATCTCCGACGGATCGTCGTCATAGCTCAAAAGAAG